TGTTTAAAAGAAGGTTGTGTGGCTGGAACCTAGACAGGGATGCCCAGGACAACGTCTTTCTTGGACCAAGCTGCACAAACATCAGATTTGCCAATGGAGACACAGTCTCCTCTCAAAGGTCCATTTGAGTACATGGCTTTCTCCATGGCCAGAAAATAATAGGCCATGAGATAATCCACCTCCCTGGGATCTGTCTCCAGTTTTCTGAGAACTTTCCTGATAACTAACTTAGCTTCTCAGACACCAAGGATTCCAAGTATAAGTATCCCCATAAGTTATGAGGTAGAATCACGCCTTATCAAGTAACTATTTAGCTACCAGGTTTGTGTCTCAGTTCTTAGGAAGTTAATGTGAGTCAGTCCTACCAGGTGCCTGATTAACTCTGAGGTACAGATATGTATCACTGAGGGCATCAACAAGAAAGTACTCTCTGTACAGGCAGGGATTTGTGTCTGTCTTTTCTCTGCTAAATCCCCAACACTTAGAGCAATGCCTGGTCATGGTAGCACTCAATAAATCTTTAATGGGGAGGGGAGTAGATGGAGTTTTGGGGCCTGCATAGATAAGGACCAGACTTTGAGCCCTAAGATCACATCTGCCCCAGGTGGCCAGCCGGGCTCCCACTCTCACTCCCTCTATCTTTCTCAGAGTTTCATAAAAACTAGTTGCCATTAAGTGATTCTGACTCATGGCAACTCCTTGTGTATCAGAGTAGAACAGGGCTCCACAGGGCTTTCAATCTTTGATTTTTGGATGTGTCTCTGCATAGACTTGAACCTCCAACCTTTCAGTTAGTAGCCAAGTGCATTAACTATTTACACGACCCACAGACTCCTGAGTTCTACAAAGCTACCTCTAGACTAGGTGTACAAATGAGTGATGACCAGCAAACAGGTGAAAATAACCCAACACTTCATTATGGCCCCAAAACCAAACTCTTCTCTCAATAAACCCTCATTCAATTTTTACTAGAATCCCTCTTCAAGAAAAGGCACATGGAATCCTGACTTTCTGGAGCCATGAAAGTTGGACGAAACCCCTAAACCACTGCCCTGAGACAGTCTTTAAACCTTAAACCAAACATATCTCCTTAAGTCTTCCTAAAACCAAACAACAGTTTAGCTTAACTAGAATGTCTGTCTTGAGCAGCATGCTCTTTTAATAACTCTCTATAAGGGATCAAAGGAGCTCTGGTGGCTCAGTGCCAAAGGCACCTGACTGCTCTTTTGGTTACCTAGTGCTGCTCTAACAGAAATTTACCACTAGTGGGATGGCTTTAACAAACAGGAGTTTATTCTCTTATGGTTTTGGAGGCTACAAGTCCGAGTGGAAAGTGCCAAGCTCTAGGGGCTGGGTGAAAGCCCCTTGACCTTGGGTCTCAGCTCTGCCTCTTGCTCCTGGCCCACTGAACCTGGAGGTTTTCTTTGCTCAGGCAGCTGGTGGCTGCTGAGGCTGAAAAACCCAAGGTCAACAAGTAAAAAGAGGCAATCCCAATATTACCAAACCACACAGCAGGCCACTGATTCAAGTCCTCATTAAGAGTCCCAAGACTGTCAGACAACAAGGCAGGCTGCTGAATGAAGACTCAACTACATGCAGGGTCCAAGCATGCCAAAAGCTATAGACCATTCCCAAAGCTTCTCCTTATATACTGGAAGTAGACTACATCCCTAAAGCACTACTCAGCTGCTCACAGCAGATTCTACCATGGAGTTGACTGCCAGGCTCATCATGGGGAATAACTACAACCAGCTGCCCAGCCACTAAGAACCAGGCCCAGCCAAGCTGACACATAACTTAACTACCAGAATTGCTAACCAGAAGGTTGGCATTTCAAACCTACCAGCCATTCTGTGGAAGGAAGATGGGGCAATCTACTTCCATAAAGATTTACTGGCTCACAAACCCAACAGGGGTCACTATGACTCGGAATCAACTCAATGGCAGTGAGTTTGGTTTGGTTTTTGCTATATGGGATCAAATAGACAACAGCAACTCAAAAGCTTAGATGGCGGGGGGGAGGACAATGCAAAAATAATAATAATAAATAATAATTAATTTTTTTAAAAAAAAGCTTAGATGGGAATCTTAGGTAGCAGTGGTATCAATGCGAAAGGAACAATTCCAAAAAGGAACGTGAGCATGGTTGCACAACTTGAAGAATGTAATCAAAGTAACTGAGCTGGACATGTCAAAATTGTTGGATTAGTGTCTGTTCTATTGAACAGACTCTCAACAACAACAATTATAAAAAATTTATAACAAAAAAATAAAGGCAGCCGACTAGCTCACCCAGAAGGCAACTCTGCCCCTTCTGGTAGTCATGGGTTTTCTCCAAGAGCTCTAAGACTTCAGTTTGAGTTCTTGGTTCTCCATATATGGGTATCAACAAGCCACTGTGTATGGAAACTCACTCTTCTCATCTACACACACACAGGTGGGTTAGAAAGCCCTGGGTCTACTTCCAGCTCTATTACTAATCAGGTGTGTGGCTTTGGCCAAATGACTCGACCTCTCTGGGCCTTTTTATTTCATATTAAAAAAATGAGGATAATAATATCTCAGATCATTGTTTTGAGGTTTGAATGAGACCATGTGTGAGCAGTGCCCGACACACAGCACATAATGTGAATTGTTTCCTTCTCCTTCCTAAGAGAGTGATGAAAAGGAAGGTGGGGGTGCAGACACCAAAAAGGAAGTGATGTTTACACAACTCTAGAGGCAGAACCTATTTTCCTCTTCAGGGCTAAAAATACTTCCAAGCACCCTAATATCTGGGCTGCCCCCATGGAGCACACCTGATGGCAGGAGAAGAAGCCAGAACTTTACAGAAAGCCTACCCCTTCCTTTCCACCAACACTGCAGGGGAAAATGGCTACAACAAAAGGACAGACTGACGGAGGCTGAGAGCACTAGGGAGAGCCCAGCAATTCTTTCCTTCCACAAATACAAATTACTGAACAATTATTATAGGCTTGGCCCTCTGGTAAGGTGGTGAGGAAGTCACAAATTAGATAGATTCTTTTTCCTGGTGCTTTTCTTGCGTCAGTCCTACAAGAATGAGTATTAAGTGCTATGCAACCCCCACAACAAGGCTGCAGACGCTCATTATTAGAGGATATAAGGCCCCACAAGAAATGTTGGGTTTTACACATCAAGGCGCCCCTGCCTCCACAGCAACATGTGATTCAGAGTGAAGCAGCCTCATGCCCAGAAAATTTATGAGCCTCTGATGCTTCCCAGAGCTTTATATAATTCTTTGCAGAGCTCTGTCTCCTACTTGATAGAAAGTCAAAGGGAGGAAAATAAACAAATATTTCCCATCAATGCATTCTTCTCAACAGAACCATTAGTCATCAGGTCATAATGAAATAAGAACACTCAAAACATATTTATCTATTTCTATACATATTTAAGGAGCTCTGGTGGCGCTGTGGTTAAGGCACTGGGCTGCTAACCAAAACGTCAGCAGTTCAAACCCAACAGCTGCTCTGTGAAAGAAAGACGAAGCAATCTTGAAAACCCTATGGGGGGTTGCTACGAATCAGAATCAACTTAATGGCAGTGGCTTTAGGCTTTTTTTTTTTTTTTAATGTATACAGGTGTAAGTAGAAATTTATATGATAGAAAATAATAGAGCGTTAAAACATTAAATAAGATGCCCAGGACACGAAGCAAAACCTGCTAAATGTGTCTTAGGCTGCAATCTGTTGTGGCGTAATAAATCAGAAATTTTTGTTTCTCCATGGTGGTACACTCTAGTTTTCAACCAACCAGATGTTTCCTTGGTCATCTGGGACAAACTCTATTAGGAAAATTACCAGGATCCACATGATACATCAGTGAAAGTCAGAAGTCACTTAATGAAATAAATGTGTCTGGCAAGCAAGTCTAGCCAGTATCCCATCAGCAAAAAGAATACGAAATCAAAATAAATACTGCATCAACTATTCCAAGCAAGTTAATTAAAAATGATGTATGTGAGAAAACATAATGTAAGATGAAAGCATGGTTTGGAATACTATGTAGCCATTAAAAAATCTGTTGGCATGGCAAGTTCTTCACAATAAATTAGGTAAAGAGAGAAATTACAAAGGACTATACATAAATGATCCCACTTTTGTCAGTATTTCTTCTTGTAGGTATAGGTTTCTTTTTACCTACACTGATTCAACATTCAAAAAAAGGATAGAAGGATATTTGCATCATGGTTAACACTTTATTTTTGGGTGGTGAGATTACGGGTCATTTTTGTTTTCATTGTCTATCTGTATTTTCTCTTTATAAGGTCAAATTACATTTTTTTGTGTTATTTTAAAAAGGTAGTTTGCTATTAGAGTGACAAAAATGTTCTAAATCTAGATTATGGTGACAGTTGTACAACTCAGTCAATTGACTATAAATCATTAAATTATATGCTTAAAATGGATAAGATTTTATGGTATAGAAATTTTACCTCAATAAAGCTATTAAAAAACAAAAACAAAAAAAGAGGGTTATGTAGCTTACTCTCAACTAGATTTTTAAAAAAATGTAATTATAGTGTGAAATCAAACAGAGTAAGATGTTAACAAGTGACTCTAGATAGAGTTCACTGTACAATTCTGTCAACTTTGGCGAAGGTTTAAGAATTTTTCAAATGAAAAGGAAAAAATGTCAGGGGCACATGGGAAATAACAGCGACACTAGAAATTAAAGCTTCTTGGGAGCTCAAGTCTTAAGCTGGCCTTCAGTATTTTAGCTCCCTTAAAACTATAAAACCCAAACTCACTGCCATCAAGTCGGTTCCAACTCATAGCAATCCCATTGGGCTTCCAAGGCTGTTATTAATCTTTACAGATATAGACTCTCCCATCTTTTCTTCTGCAGAGCAGCTAGTGTGTTCAAATCACTGACCTTTTCGTTAGCAGCCAAATGCCTTAACCACTACACCACCAGAGCTCCTTAGAAGCCCTCATTCCAAGAAATGTGGAAAGTGCCATCATGTATACAATACTCACCTCTTCCTTCTTCTCCATACCCCAAGTGAGGGGGGACCACAATCCTCCTCCTCTCTCCAATGCAAACACCAAGTAAACCTTCATCTATCCCAGGAATCACATAGCCCTGCCCGATGTATGTGTCAAAGGTACGGTTCCGGGAGTAGCTAAAAATGATGAAAAAAACAGAGGTTACTAACAAGGGGCACCACCGCAGCAGAATAAATTAGTGGGTCTCATAGAGCAAGAACCTAGAGGCCTCCAGACCCCAAAATAGAGAACACAGCCAGGACACATGCTCCTGTGAAACAGTGAATAAGAATCCACACTGTGTAAGCAGCCATCTAAAGAAACACTCCCAGATACAATGCACCAGCCCTTTGATTTGGTCAGGTTTAAGGCTGGCAGTTCAAATCCACCAGCCACTCCTTGGAAGGAAGATTAGGCAATCTACTTCCATAGTGATACCACTTCAGAAACCCAAGGAGGCGTCGCTATGAGTCGGATACAACTCAACGGCAATGACTTTGGGTTTTTTTCTTTTTTTTTTGGTAGGGATGTGATGAGAGTCACAAGAAGCAATTACACAGAAACATAACTGTGAACTGGACTCTGCATTGGAAACCATATCAAGTTACTGAAAAAGATCTGGGGTATCCCTTACCAGAGACTTGGAATGTATCACGAGGAGCCTGTCCACAGGATCCAAAGAGCAAGTCTGTATGTGAGCCATAAATATTATGATTGCCATAAAAGTAGCCTATACACTGAGGCCCATTTAATTCTTCAGTCTCTACCACAGCCTGGGTGAAATATCCCTACTGTAATCCCTGTATATCAAGCCTCCCTCTAGTGAGCACTTGGGTGTTCCAAATGCCACTGGCAGGAGGTCCCAGTGTTCTACTCCATGGAGAGATTCAGGCTCTGTATAGACTGTCAATTCAGTCTGATTTGTATGAGTTTGGCTGAAATAGGATTCAATTCCCCAAAGCCTGATGACGCTAACATAAAATGGCAAAATTTCACATGTCAAGTCTGTTACCAGACTCTAGACCACAGTGATCTGCACCCCTCACCCACCTTCCACCAAGTGCCGATGTGGCAAAAGGCTGTGCTTAAAGAGCCTGTCTGTTCCACGATTACCTCATTAGACACAACCAGAGGATGTGCCTCAGAGAAGATGGACAGCCACGTAAGGCCAAAGAGGATGAGGGGGACAGTGGGCACTGAAGGACGTGGAGAACTGAACAGGGAAGAGAACTGGGGTAACAATGAAGGCCACACCAAGAGACAAGAAAAAGCCTCACAAGAAGAGACTGGACAAGAATGGTGGGCTTAAAAGTGTAGAGAACTGAATAACTTTAATGACAGAACATAAAAGTAGATTTAAATAAATGGAAAAAGATCATGTTCCCCAGGGGGATATTTTCCAATGGCAAAGTCAGGATTGTAAAGTTGTCAATGCTACCCCTAATTATGATTTTAAAATAATTTCAATCAAAACTGTGTGGTGTGGTGTGGTGTGGGGGAAAGACTCAATAAAGAAATTCTAAAGTTCATTTGGAAAAAGATAATTAAGAACACAGTTTTTTTAAAAAAGAATACACTTCTGTAAGTAGTGTATAGTAAGCTATCATTCCCATGAAAATAAAAATGGAGGAATACATATAAGTGTATATCATCATTTTTGTACAGACCAAAAAACCAAAACTCACTGCCATTGAGTTTCTGAGGTGGTAAATCTTTTTTTTTTTTAATGCATTTTATTGAAATATAATTTACATATAGTGAAATACACAAAACTAAAGTGACATAGGTCAATGCATTTTGATTTTTTATTTGCAGTGTCCCTCCCCTCCCCTTCCACCTCTGGCAACCAACAAAGAAAGTTTCCCTCAATATATAAACCTTTCCTTAACTCCCCACAACAATGAACTAATACTATATTTGTCCTTCTGTGATTGACTTATTTCACTCAGGATAATGTCCTCCAAGTTCATCCATATTATGCAGTGTTTTGCAGACTCTACATTATTCTTTAGTGCTGCATAGCATTCCATTATGTGCATGCACCATAGTTTGGTCATCCATTCTTCCGCTGATGGGCATGTAGGTTGTTTCCATCTTTTTGCTATTGTAAACAGTGCTGCCATGAACATGAGTGTGCATGTATCTGTTCCTGTCCTGGTTATCACCTCTCTAGGATATATACCTAATAATGGGACAGCTGGGTCAAATGGTATCTCCAATTCCAGCTGTCTAAGGAATTGTGAAGTGGTAAATCTTTATGGATATAGACTGCCTCATCTTCCTTCGACAGAGCAGCTGATGGGTTTGAACTACCAACCTTCTGCTTAGCAGTCAGATGCCTTAGGCACTATGCCACCAGAGCCCCTTTGATATGTACAGAAGACCTATGAAATTAGTAACACTGGATCCCTATGGAGAGGGGAACTGAATGAATGAGGGACAAAATTAGAAGGGATATACTTTTTTCAGGACTTTTAACCATGTCAAAATCCTAAAAATTGTGTTTAAAAAAATAAAAAGAATACTGCCATACAAATTAAAAAGCTATAGATATATAGATGTATCAATGGAAAAGGATAAAAATTATAGACAGAGACCCAGAAGTGTACATAAGAATCTGGAACATAATAAAAGTCACATTTTAAAAAAGTAGGAAAAATATATTTATTCAATAAAGAGTGTTGGAAAAACTAGCTAACCATCTGGAAAAAAATTAAAGTTAAATCCTTTCTGTCACACTGAATATCACAAGAAGTTCCAGATGCATTAAAGATTTCAATATAAAAGCATTTATGAGCATGGAAAGTGACTGTGGAAGGTTGTTAATATCAGTTACCTCGGGTACTGAGAATGGAAGGGATGGAAAGGTAAGTTACTACATTTTTTATAATGTATCTTTGGAATAGTTCACATATACCATAAGAACATATTACTTATGAAGATAAAAATTCTAATAAAGAATATTTCAAAGTAAAACCATTAGGGACTTAAAGAAAACACAGGGAACTATTTATATTTATGGGACCTCTGGTGGCGTAGTGCCTAAGACATTTGACTGTGAACCAGAAGGCTGGCAGTTCAAACCCACCAGCTACTCCTTGGAAGGAAGACTGGGCAATCTAGTTCCATAGAGACACTGCCTCAGAAACCCAAGGAGGGGTCACTATGAGTCAAATCGACTCCACACAGTGAGTTTGTTTTTTGTTTTTTTTTTGGTATTTCTATTTATATGGGAGGGACAGACATTGTAGCAAGTCAGCAAAGACCCAAAAGAACCCAAAGTGTAATGTATTTAACGACATACATAGTTTACATTTAAATGGATCAAAAAATCACAAGAACCAAAATTAAAATGCAAATAAATAGGGAAAATGCAAAGTAAACAATAGATAACCATAAAAAAGTTAATGTCTTTAATGCATAAAAAACAAACAAACTGATTGCCATCAACTCTGACTCATGACAAGCCATGTATGCCAAAGTAAAGTTGTGCCCTACAGGGTTTTTAATGGCTGATTTTGGGGAAGTGTATTGCCAGGCCTTTCTTCCAAGGCACCTCCAACCTTTCAGTTAGCAGCTAAGCACATTAACCATTTGTCCCACCCAGGAACTCCCTTAAATGTATAAAAAAACAACAACCCACTGCCATTGAGTCGATTTTGACTCATAGTGACTCTACAGGTAGAGAAAAACTGCTGCATAGCATTTCCAAGGCTGTAATCTTTATGGAAGCACACTGCCACATCTTTTTCCCATGAAGCATTTGGTGGGTTCAAACCAGTGACCTTTTGGTTAGCAGCTGAATGCTTAGTGACTACTTCCCCAGAGCTTCTCTTTAATGTATGGAAGAACTCTTTAATAAGATAAGGACAAATGCCTTCAATATAAAAACAGGCAAAGGACAAATAACTCACCAGAAAAAGAGATCCAAATAGCCAAGAAATATCTGAAAAATATTCAACCTCAAAATGAAAAAAATTCAACTTCAAATCAAATAAATTTGGATGAAAGCCAAAAATAACATTTTCCTTCTATAAACTGACAAAGATCATTTTTAAATGTTATTTTAAAAAAAAAAAAACTTAACTGCTGCTGAGTCCGGCCCGACTCACAGCGACCGCTCCTTGGGTTTCTGAGGCTGTATCGCTACAGAAGTAGACTACCCAGTCTTCCTTCTGAGGAGTGGCTTGTGGGTTTGAACCACCAGCCTTCTGGTTAGCAGTCAAGTGCCTTAGGCACTATGCCACCAGAGTGCTATTGAGCTTATAGGGATTGGGGCACTCTCAGACAGTGAGGAGGAATAAAACCTTCCTTGAGAGCAACTGTAAAAATACACAGGAACTTTGATTCAGAAATTCTGTTTCTAGAAATTTATCCCAAATGAGCAATTAATCATAAACATTCAAATTTAGATACAAAAATAATTACTGCAGCCCTACCTAGAATGTCAAAATATAGGAAACAACATTCATGACCAACAGGGAATTGACTGCCTAAATAAAGGCAAATCCACACAATGGAATAATATACAGCCGTTAGGATGGCCTTGATCCCAAGTACTAAACTGGAAAATTGTCTGAAACCTAAGAAAACCCCCCCAAAAAACAAACCCATGCCATTGAGTCAATTCTGACTCACAGCAACCCCACTAAGTTTCCAAGGCAGTAAATCTTTATGGAAATAGAATGCCCCATCTTCCTTCCCTGGAGCAGCTGGTGGGTTTGAACCGCCAACTTTCTGGTTAGCAGTGAAATGCCTTAGGCACTGTGAATTGGGATCCTATTAATGAGGAAAGAAATCTGGTATACACAAAAAAAATATGGTCTTTCAATCAGAAATATAATTCCAGGGAATAAAGGACAGAATCAAACTCTCTTATAACAAGTAATATAACACATAAACACACTGAAGGATATTTTTATAATAGAAAAGAATGAATAAATCTTAAATGTTCACCAATAAAAGGAATGGTTAAAGAAATTTGGTATATTCATCCAATGGAACACTATACAGATATTTTTAAATATGTATTTCTCCCTCTGCATTGATAGGAAAAAGCAATCCCAAGGTCAAAAAACAACGAAGTACCAAGTAGTATATATCATGTATTACATTTTATAGAATGAAGAGGAGAAAATAATGTAACATTTGTATTGGATCATATTTACATAACACACACACACAGGAAGAATAAACAAGAAACTAATAAAAGTGGTTAACTGTAGGGACTGAGGGGAGATGCGGAGGGAAGGTAGTGTGGAAGGCTGAAATGGAAGGCCGAATGGGCCTCTCACTGAAAACTGCAGAACTTTAACAGACTAACAGGCATGATTAAAGTAGACATTAATCACAGAGACTAACTTGCTATCCCCACCCCAGCCCCCTTTTCTTTCAAGTAAACAGAATAGCCAACCTCTTTAAGGACACAGTTTTTTAGATTGTCATTTTCAATTATATATTCTTCTAAGCTTAACTGTCTCATGACTGGGTTCAGCTGAGAATCGTAATCTATGAAGCAAGATGACCCTGAGAAGAGGGATGCTGAGTCTGGAGCAACCAGGGAAGAAAAGAACATAGACGTTCCTGGCAGTCCAAGGAATCTTCAACTCCCTTCTCATTTCCATATATAATCATATTCACCCCTTTGCTCAAGAAGACAGACATTTTAGAGAAATGATTTTCACTGTCTCCTTGGGTATCAATACTCAATAAACCTTTTACTTTCCCTCTTCAACCTGTTGTGATCATTGGCTCTTAGTGACAGGGGTTAAGGACCTTGTTTTGAGCCTGGTGGAACCACTGAGACTATGGCCCCTAGCAGCCCTTCAGGTCTGGAACTGAACCCATGTCTGTGGCTTCCAGCCAAACAATAGACAGGCATATGAATTGAACATTTACCTGAGGTAGATACACTCCTTGGAGAGAACAATCATGGGAAAAAGAAGGGCTGCTTATGCACAGAGAGACAGCTCAGGGGGCAGGAGTGATGGAGGGATAGATACAGGGAAGAGGTAACTATCGGGAGGAAGTAGGAGAGGAACTGTTGCATTGTGGTAAATTGTGGTCAATGTCATGAGACACAGTGTATGTGAATTGCTGTATGGAAAGTGAATTTACTCTGTAAATTTTTACCCAAATCATAATTTAAAAAAAAAAGGACCTTGTTTTCCTGTAACAGTAGATAGAGACAGATGAAACAAACCATCTAATGCATACTTTGTTTTGATTTTGAACCATGTGATTTTTACTTTAAAAAAAAAAAAAGAGAGAGAATGAAAAATTTAAAAGAAGAAATCCCAGGAGCAGGAAGAATAATTGTTCAAATAAAATAACACCATATAAAAATGATTCTCTAAAGTATTGGATGACTAAATAAATTGGAAGTCTATTACCTCAGAGAGACAGGTAGGTTGCTGTCACTACTTGTCTGTTCTATAGAAAGTAGAACAGTAAAGGAGTGGTTGCCAAACAACACATGCCACTTGAATGAGTAAGACATACTAAATGCCTGCTGCCTGCTCATATTTTGCACCCCGAGCCATCTGTACAAACTGCAGGCTGTGCCTGATAAGCAAAGCAAAACTATGAATAACAACAGTGGCACGGGAACTGGCCTCTGCAGCATCGGGACAGGAGATAAAAGTTCATCCAATTGCTCTTTAAAGTTTGTAAAGTGCTTTCATATATATACCTTTATCTCCTTAACCATCTGTTTGAGAAACTGTATGTAACAAGAGAAAAAGCTGAAGCCCAGGGGAGTAAAATGCTGTCCCAAGTTACAAAGCTAGTACATCACAGACAGGGACCAGAACATAGGTCTCCTGGCATCAAGTCTCTGCTCTTTCCACTGGGCCTCCCTGACCTCACTTCTGGCCACTCCTCAATCTGGACCCCAGAGCTGGGTTTGTACTTGGACAACTGAGCACAAAATAGGAGATGATAGAAGTGCTTTCCATTCTCTCATGGAAAGCCACTGGGAAGTCAAAAGCAGACCTCTCGTTTTCCTTTAGACTCATCTACCCTAACAACAAGGTAGAGAACATTCTAATGGTCAATGCAGCAATTCAGTATCGAAAAACAGTAACCTTTAATGGAGATCAAAATACTAACTACAAACCAGCACTGACATAGTATTCAGAGCCATATTTATTCAGTCCAGCCAGAAGCAGAATATTTAATAAGACATTCAGGTTATGAAGGTGCTAGCTATTTCCTTACCTGGAATCAAAGAAGGTGCCATCCAGAAGCGTGCCATTGTAATGATACCTGAGAAAGTCCCCACTTTGACTTCTCCGCTCACAGTTTTCAGGCACTACTTTGTTCTCAATGGAAATGCCATCCTTGGGGTTATGCAGGTCTAATAATGCAACATCAAAGACCAGAGATGCCTGTCCAGGAATGTCTTTCCCTAGAGTGGAATGGAGGAAGGTGATGAAATCAGGATACAAGATTTAAGAAGTGCTTTAATAACAACTCAGCATTCTCTGTGTTGCTGTTATTCATTCCTTGAAGTTTTCAAGCCAAGGAAACAAATGTTCCTCCAAATACTGGGTGGTTCCACATGGTGCCTGGCCAAGCTGTCTACCCATGGTATCTAACCATGGACCAGAGGGTATAATCTAAAGCCTGATTTGCTCAGGAAAAAGAGAAAAATGACATCAATAATGTGAGAGACTATGGCGTCTCTATTTTCGACGCTCATGCTGTGTTCATGTGACTGACTATATGCCCACATACAAACTCAGATACACAATTACGAGGGTTTCTGTTTGTTTATAAATGCATTAAAAAGATTTAGAAATACAAATTCCAAAGCTCTGCTTTTGTTCTGGAGAACATTACAGAAACTTGTTCTTCAGAAGCATCAGCCAATTTTTGTAAGAGGCAAAAGACAAAATTCACTCCTTTCAGTGCATCCAAAACAAGATACAAATAAAACTAAAATTAAAATGAGATGACAGAGGGGAAAAATGGCACCCGCAACCCAAAATATAAATAATCCTCAAATAATTTTTATCTCAATTCTGGATGGTTCTGCTACTCTTAGATGTTCCAAATGGTGAGGATTTACTGAACATCTGCAAAAATGACTAATCCACATAGAAAGATCACTGGGCATTCGTCCTCCCTGCAAAGATAAATATCAATGAATAATTAACTCTAAATCCAGTAATTTGGGGTAAAAATTGAAAAAGAGCTACCTCAGTGCTCTAACTTGTCATTTATTATACCACACAAAGCAGTGGGGCTGCGTAAATGAACCACACAGGCACCAAGCCTGTGCTTCTTCAACACACCCTTTCGGGAGAACCCACGCTGTCCTGCTGAGTCAGCTTCTGGAACATGACCAATGCCTGAAGTGCTTGTGGAGTGTGTTTGTGTGCATGTATGTGTCTCTGTGTGATGGAAATTAATCCTTTGTACCTTTCTATATAGTTTAATGTGAGAAACAAAATCTTAAAAGTAACCCTAAGGTTTTCATTTTTCTAGCATTAACAGGTACTAACTGGATATGTGTTTTTGATCTACAACTTCACTGAGATGTAATTCACATAAATACCACTCACCCATTTAAAGTGTATTGTTTGTTTTTAATTTCTTAAGATAGTTTTTTTCTTTAAATGTTATTTTGTTGTTTTTGAGACTGTGCACAGCAAAACAGATACCAACTCAACCATTTCTGAATGTACAATTTGGTGACACTGATTACATTCTTCGAGGTGTGCAATCATTTTCACCCTTCTGAGCTGTTCTCCATCACTAACATAACCTCACTGCTCCTTAAGGTTCCTATCTAACTGTTCAAGTTTTTATTGTCAATTTGATCCAATGTAGTTGTTTTTGTTTTTTAAATTTATTGTGGTTAGGGCACAAGTTTACAGAGCATATTTGTTTTCCATCCAAAAATTTATACACTTTTTGTTTCGTGTGGTGGTTAAGTTTGTGTGTCAACTTGGCAGGGCCTGGTTGAGTGGCTGGACAGCTGAATGTAATTATCCCCCATCGTGAGAATGGTAATTAACTCCAGGGTGGAATCTATTAGAGCAGCTGTGTAGCTGCTTTGGGTATGTGGTCTGCTTCCCATATATAAGAAACAGCTTTGGGAATGGTTTCTAGTTTATGGCACACTTGAACCCTGCATGTAGCCGTGTCATTGTTCAGCAGCCTGCCATGCTTTGCTGATCTGGGGACTTTCGACGGACTTGAATTAATGGCCTGCTGCTATGTGGTTTGGTAATATCAGGATTGTGCCTTTTTTACTTGTCAACCTTGGGCTTGTCAGTCTCAGCAACCAGCAGCTGAGCGAAGAAAAGTCTCTAGCTTCAGTGGGCTGGGAGCAGGAGGCAGAGCTGACGCCCAAAGTTGAGGGGCTTTCACCCAGCCCCTAAAGCCCGGCACTTTGAACTCAGCCTTAAAGCCTCCACATTGTAAGAGAATAAACTCCTGCTTGTTAAAGCCAACCCATTTGTAGTATACTCCTGTCAGAGTGGCACTAGGAAATCAGAGTATTTCAAGACATTAGTTGCAATTCCCTCAATATAAAAGCACTCTTCCTACTTCCTCCCTGGGTCCTCCATATCCACTCTTCCTTGTTTCCCCCTTCCTGTCTTTTGAGCTTTGTTTTAGGGCAAATGCTGGCCTTTCGGTCTCATATGGTAAATTATTCTGAGAAGTACATTCCTCAAGAGTGTTACTATTCAGTGTATAGGCCTGTCTGTTGTTCAACGGAAAGAGGATTCCCTGGGGTGGGTTCACAACTTTGAAAGATATCTAAGGGCCACAATCTCAGGAGTTCCACCAGTTTCTAACAGACCAGTAAATCTATCATTTTTATGCTTTTGAATTTTGTTCTACATATTTCTCTCATTCTGTCCAGGAGCTTCTAGGTGTCAATCAGAGTGGTCAGCAGTGGTAGCTGACACCATCTAGTTCTTCTGGTTTCCAGGTAGTGGACGCTGTGCTCCATACAGATGATTCTTGGAAGAGCACAATGCTCCAGGCAGACCTATTTTGCTAGTGAAGCTACTGTTTGGTTTTAAGAAGACTTCCGGGGATATTTTTGGTTTAAGGTTTAAAGATTATCTCAGGGCAATAGTTTTAGGGGTTCATACATCCTCTATTGCTCGAAAGTCTAGAGTCTATGAGGATTTGAAATTATATTTTGCATTTTCCCCCTTTTGATTAAGATTCTTTTATGAAATCTTTGATCAAAATGCTCAGTAATGGTACCATGTGCCATCTAGTTCTTCTGGTCTCATGGCAAAGGAAGCAGTTGTTCATATAGGCCACTGTATGAACACATTCCACATCCTTCTTTTATTCCTGAATCTTTTTTCCTCTGTTGTCTCAGGTGAATAGAGACAAAGCAGTAAGTTTTTTTGTTTTGTTTTGTTTTTTTTTTTTGGTGGCTTGGATGGCTACTTGCAAGCTTTCAAAGACCCCAGGCACTATGGAACCACGTAGGAGGTAGAGCAGAAGCACTAAGCATGTTATTAGGCCAATTAACTTGGACATCCCATGAAACCGTGACTCTAAACCTCCAAACCAAGGAACCGAATCCCATGAAATGTTTGGTTGTGCATAAGCAGCCTTCTCAGCTACTTTTCTTTTAGTCATTGTCGTAAATATATCTATCACACAACTTTTGCCAATTCAACTCTTTATAGGTGCACAACTTATTGACAGCAATAATCAGCTGTGCAACCCTCTCTTAATCAGTGCAATTTTCCAATTACTGCTAACCCCCCTTTGTCCCTCCCTCCTGCCCCTGGTGAACATTAATAAACTTTGCTCTCTATACATTTGCCTAGTCTTGTTTTTTTAATATATAAATGAGATCAAAAAATGTTTTCCTTTCTAACTGACTGATTTCACTCAGCATGATGTCTTCAAGGTCCATCCATACTGTAGCATTTAACAAGACTTCATTTCTCCTACTGGCTGAGTACTATTCCACTGTATGTATGTGCCACATTTTTGTTTACCACTCATCTGTTGCTGGATATTTAGGTTGCTACCTTTTGGCTACTGTAAACAGTACTGCAATGAAGCCTGGTGTACAAGTCTCTTTAAGTCTCTACTTTAAACACTTTTTTTTTTTTTAAACATACACATATACCTAGAAGTGGAATTGCTAGGTCATATGGTAGTTCTATTTTTAGTTTTTTGAGGAGCTGCCACATTGTTTTCCATAGCAGCTCTATCATTTTGCATTCCCACCAATGGTGGATAAGGGTTCTAAGTTTCCCACATTCTTGCCAACATACACATACATACATATATGTTTTTTTGTTACATCCCAGTGGGAGTATAATGGTATCTCATTGTAGTTTTGATCTGCATTTCTCTGAAGACTAATGATGCTGAGCATCTTTTCATGGGTTTGATGGCCCTTTGAATGTCCTCTTTGGTGAAGTGGCTATTTAAATCCTTTGCCCACATTATGACTGGGTTATTTATCATTTTGTTAAGTTATTGAAGTTATATTTATAGACTATTAAATTCTTTCAAATATATGGTTTCCAAAGACATTCTCCCAGTAATTTGTCTTTTCACTTTTTCAGTAAAGTCTTTTGATGAATGAAAGTTTTTAATTTTTATGACATCCCACTTATTTATTCCATCTTTTGCTGTTTGTGTTTTTGTTATTATATAATCCACTGTTGAAAGCTACGCCTGACAGCATTGCCTTGCTTGTTCTTCTAAAATTTATGGTTTAGTTAGTACATTTAGGTCCTTAAATTCATTATGAATGTATTTTCTGTGTAATCTGAGGCAAGGAACCTGTTTCATTTTTTCTACATATGGATATCCAATTTTCCTAGCATTATTTACTGAAGAGACTTTTCTTTCCCTGCCAAATGTATTTAGCATCCTTGTCAAAAATCAGTTGACCACAGATGTGTAAGTTTATTTCTGGATTCTCAACTCTATTCCATTGGTCTATTTGTTATTGTTAAACCAGTGCCAGCTGTTTTGATTACTGTAGCCGTATAGTATGTTTTAAAATCAGGAAGTGCAAGTCCTACTTTGTTCTTCTCTTTTAGCATTGTTTTAGCTATGTGAGGCCTCTTCCCTTTTCATATAAAGTTGAGGATTGATTTTTTTATTTCTTTAGAGAAGGCTGTTGGAATTCTAATCAGGATTGCATTGAATTTATAGATCCCTTTGGGTAGTACTGATATCTTAACAATATTTAGTCTTCCAATCTATGAACATGGAACATCTTTTCATTTACTTAAGTCTTCTTTAATCTCCTTCTGCAGTGTTTTATAGTTTTCCTGGTGTAAGTCCTCCATGTCCCTGGTTAGATTTATTCCTAGGTTTATTCTCTTAGATGCTATTGTGAATGGAAATGTTCCCCTAATTTCACTTTCAGATTTCTCATTGGTGCTGTATAGAAACCCA